CGCTTTAAACTGCGAATAAACCACTTTGAAGTACGGAGTGCGTTTACTCGACATATTTGTGAAGTGACATAAACTCTAATGTAAAAATTGAGAATAATTTTTAAAAAGGTTTAGTTACTTCACCACTTTAAAGTGGAGTAGCACCATCTTGACCTGGCAAAGGTGTAAAATATTTTTCTTACAGCGTTTGATTGTCAATAGATATCTAAACATGTAAGGACAAGCATCCTAGTCAAACATTCAGTTTAACTACTACATGCCAGCATTTGATTCAGCGACGCAACTTCACATCGAAACCAGCTCCTGCAGGATCCGAGCTCCCTCCGCAAACTCGTGCTTGATGTCCTGATTGCCGATCGAGATCAGCACCATATCCTTGGGCATCCTGAAGCTGGCACACGGCAGCGCGTCAGATGCGCCTCGTGCATGCCCGTGCCGAAGCGGGCCATCTCACCGGTCGAACCCAGCTCCACACCCATACTCGGGTCAGCGCCGTGCAGACGCATGAACGAGAACAGCGGCGCCTTGACGTTCACGTAGTCGAAACAGGCGCGCAGGATGCCCCTGATCGCCTTGACGTCGTTAGCCCGGGCCATTGCCTGGGTGTGGTGTTAGTACGTGGTAAACGGGCCCGTGACGTTAAGCGCCTGTGCGATGGTGCTAGCTGCTTGATCGTGCCGACGAACAGTTGCTGGACTGGCTCCACCAGTGTGGCGTCTCCAGTGTGTACGCGGGCGTGCTTGGCGTGTGGCGTAGATGGATATGGCGCTGTCCTTGGCCAAACTTTCGAACTCAATCTCCTTAGCATTCACGACGACCTTGGACACGGCGAGGGAGCGCGACATCTTGTCTGCGTTGCTGTTCAGGTAATCCTTCAAATGGCTCTCGTCCGAAGCCACAAGCATAGCAGCCTCTGACAGCACGTAACAGGGAGGGACAAGAACCAGGTACTACACACACCTCGTGCACTAACTCCAGAGTCGAGATCAGATCCATCACCTCCGTCCGGCTGGTCCACGTTCAGCGAGTCCAGCAGAACCGCGAATGCGCTGTAGCCCTTGCACTGGTCGATGCTGTCCGGCAGGATGTTAGCGCCTGACTCAGAGCGGATTGGCCAGGTTGCTCGGGTCTGGCCATCCACCACCACGATCATGTCTTCAAGGATCTCGAGGTCCCCGTTGTCCAGCACCCGTGCTCCAAGCTCACCTCCGCGACGTACTAGTTCCTGCTCTCGAGATGGTAACTGACCACGGTGGACAGATCGCGCACGTACTCAATCCAACTCTACCAACTTGCAAGAGATCCACCACGAATTCACATCGAATCGTCGCCCACACTACACCGCCACGCTGTAAGGATCGCGCCGAACACGTATAACTTGGCCATCAATATCAACGGCGCCTCGCCCTCCCATAAACCCACCCGAATCGCGATGGTTCGTTATCACCCGCTGCCACTCCACACTCGCTCACCGCCGTCGTGCCGCTCGTCCTTCACGCTCGCTCGCCCACCACCAGTGCCACCGTCGCCGCCGCCACCACGACCGCTCCACACTCGCTCACCAGCTGTCCACTAGATTACGCACTGATGCCGTCGACCTATCCCACTTAACCGCTCCCACCGCCATCGCCATCAAAATAAAATTTAATTCATGCTCCGGGTCGCTCTTTTTATCAAAAGAGTGAGTATTTTGCCAGACTAGGAGCATCCCACTCGTAGCAAATCTTGTGCTATCTTCGGATTTGCTAGGATTTGCTGATATCGTCCATATCCGAACTCGGTACAGCGTATACTCTGCGTATACCCCTCCCACACAAAAAATCCTCCCCCTCAAGCAAATTCGTGGCGCCAACGGACCCAAATGCCGCCGCGCCCACGCAGCGCTCCAAAGCGCCCCCTGCTGGCAGACGACAGCGACGATACCAGTGACGGCGCCGCATCCGGCGGCTCTTTGAGTGAGTGGGAGCCGTCACTAAGACCACCTCGTGTGGAAACGACGGGGACGAGCAGCGCTAGCGAGAAAGCCGGACCAGTCGGTGTCATCGCTCCGCCTCCGGGGGAGACGCAGTTCAGGTCGTGGGAAAAATTCGAGGCATACTTCGCACAGTACCAAGCTCGGTCGTTCCAGGTACAGTTGAGAAGTTTTTTTTTTTAATTATATTCAGTGTTATCTAAGCTAATTGGTTGGTATGTTATCGATACAATATTAGACCTACCGTACCAGAACGAGCACCTCAGTTCCAGTACGGAATGCTCGGATAGATGCCCAGGGATCCAAGGCGTGTAAGATTCCCGACGAGTGGGACCAGTATGCAAAAACATACGTGTGTACGCATTACGGCAAATTCCGATCGCAAGCCACAAGTAAGAGGCCTCGTCAGGATCCTCGAGCTTCGGGATGCTCTGCCCAGGTATGTTGCTGCTGCAAATTAGAATGTCGGGTGTGCTGTGCAAGATACATAATCAACTAGGCGAAGCCAGATTCAATCGGGCATGGTCTGGTTCAATCTGGCACGGTCTGGTATGATTGAGTATTGACTGGTTTGATCGGACAAATTTGCTAATATCTGCTGGCAATATTTTGTTGTTTTCAAATCAATGTGTGCGCTCAATAGATCAACAAAGCTACCCATACATTTACTCTAACGATTACGAAGTGCCACCTTGAGCACAACCACACATTGAGCGAGTACGCTTTCAAAAGCCACTCGTCCAACCGTGTGTCCCTCGATGAGAGTGCTTTAGAGACAGTGGACGAGCTCCGCAAGGCTGGCGCGAAAAAGACAAGCATTCTCAAGTTTATCAAGAACAATTCCGATAGCAATCCGAAGCCGCAGGATGTTCATAATTAGGCTCGCAAATTGAAGGCTCGCGAGCAAGGATCGACCCCAACGTCTAGTTCAAAGCGGTTAAAGAAGTGGATGTCCGAATTTGGTGATGTTCCTGGCAACGTGGGGCGCATCTTCGTAGACGATGTGGGAGAAAAGGTATGATATACGACGTTTATGTTTTAGATTTAATTTCGTTGTTGCCTATCTAACCGTTTCATTATGTTACAAATTGGCAACCTGTATTACGCTTCAAACCAAACACATGCGATCGATCTTCACTCCCCGGATGTACTTCTAATTGACGCAACGCATGGAACCAATCGATCGAGGTACAAGGTCTTCTCTTTCATGGCACACGACACTTTTAGAAAAGGCCAGTTTGTGCAGCATGCCCTACTCCACAACGAGCAGTGGAGAACATTGTTGACTGCAGAATGAGTCCCAGGGCTCCTGTAGCCCACGAGAGAGCGAGCTTACCACCGGCGAAGAAAATATATCCTGTGGAATCCATAACCCGTGTATTTCGCAAAGACTTCATTGAGAAGTGCAGCGCCAAAGTCTCAGCCCTGCAGAAGAAATATAAAGATTCATGGAGTGTAAATCTAGGCGAGCACGAAATTGCGGCTAAAGTAATCGGTGTTGGAACATACACTACCGAGACGTTGGGTGTGATGAAAAAGTGGCACAGGGCGATGAAAAGCATACAACACGTGGACAAAGCTATAAACTGGATCGAGACTATTGATTTCACTCTACAGATGCCCGAGCATTCCAAGTTGATCCAGACCCATATATACTTGCTAAGCTGAAGGCCATCCCACTTCTGTCCGTGCAGGTACAGTTAACGTACATTTATTGATACAATGGAATTACTAACGTTGATAGTATCTTCTTGAATATAGGCGGAAGCGCTCCGTCATGATTGATCTGACATGTAAAGACGTATTTGTCTAGGACCCGATGAATTCCAGCTACGGAGTGAAGGTTCGCCCCCTTGCTGACAAATTGGTGATGATGCTACCAGACTTCGCCCCAAGAAAGTACCGAGTCCGAATGTACGAAAGTGATCTTGGAGTGCAGGTCAATAGCTACAATTGTGGCATGTACATGCTGTTAGCATTCGAATATTTGCCGGTGCAACTACTATGCGTGCGCTAAGTAGGAAGGAGTTGCAGTATCTACGCTATCGGTATCTATGCATGTGCATTTAGCTGAACAAGTTTTCAATGATTTGGTCTTTTGTTTGTGTGTGCCGACGACATGACTGCACTTTGTCTTGAAAGTTAGATATCCCCAGCGCAGTCTGCTGAATGTCTGGCAGATTTCAGTTTCGAAACTGCCAGACATCGAACTTCCGGTTATACGTATACTCCCGAAGACACATCAGCTGATGACGTATCCGGCTCTTCCTGAGTCTGGCAAACTCGGGCATGCTATCGGGTGTATTCTGGTGTAATTGTACTGTCTCTTGTTACCCAGTCTGGCTGAATAACGAGTGCTCTTTTGAAATGGGGGGATTGTGCAAAATACAGCATATATTTAACAACAGATGTTAAGAACATTAACTGTTACAATAAAAAAACACCGGTGTTATTCAATGTTGTTCACATTGCAAAACGGTATTATTGAATGCTGCTGTGAAATCATGTCATTCTGTGTCAGGTTAAGCTCAATACAATGCACTTTGAAAGACTGCGATCGCCCCGCCTTTGTCGCTCAGCTTTTTCCTTCGGGGCGTCAAGTATGAGGCTCATGTTTTTGCGCTTCGTCTCCAGTACTTGCGCTATAATTTCTGGGGGGGCGTGCTCACTTGCAGCTAGGAATTGGATTGCATCGTAAAACACCTTGCGACGTTTGAAATATTGACGTTCGGAATCACTCGAACACCATTTCGCGCCGTGACGTGCTTCGAATTGCTGTACGGGGGTACAACCCGCAACCCCTTTCGTGTACTCTGTCCAAACTGCAATCACGGAATACAATCCTCGAGCAAGACGGTAGGTAATGGACCCGTCCAATTGCTCTGCCTGTTCGCTCGATTGTCCAGCCTGGCCAGGAGCTTAGACGAGTGAAATCGTCCGCCGACAAGCGAGATGACAAGCGTGTGTGTAGAGCGTAAAGATTTTCGATAGCTGTCAGACGCAGCACTGTGCTTGCGAAGCTGCTTTCCGCCACGTTGATTAAAATAGGGAGAGTGGCACGTACCGTAGGGATCAATCCGGTGTCAGATGTCTTTTGGAGGCGCGCTAGTTGCTGATTAGCAAATATATGGTAGTCTGGTCTTGTGAATAGAGCGTGCTTCCAGATTGGATGCGTTGGATTAGCTATATGGAGGAGCACAGAGTCCTGAAGTACCACTTCCCGTAGATATGCGAGCAGACGCAAAAACCCTTTCCCTGCTATATTATGAATGTCTCCCTTGTCAAACAATGGTTGTAACGTGTCAATCCATGCCAGCACTGCTCCTCGCAACGTTTCTGGTATAGAACTCTCAGCCCGAGGCAGAAAGAATGCCCCCCCCCCAATTTGCATTGAAACCTGCTAGCGCACAGACAACCTCACGCGGCAAAGTAGTCATATAACAGCCTTCCACTTTCTCGTTGCTCCATCTCCCACCCCTTCTTATGCTGGCCTCGGATGCGCCATTCGCTTTGGCGATGACGCACGAGCTAGTCGGCAAATGTGTGTCACCTGCAAGTTAAAATAAGGAAGAGTGTTAATCCATGTGATGTGAAAGCATGCGATTCAATGTGAATCTGTGGGATGCTAAACGCTGTTAACATCATAACATATTACACAAAGCTACATATTACCTTTTTGCTTGTGACACCGCACGCTTTCAGGGCCTTCTTCGGCCCGTTAGCTTGTGCGCTGTACGATATCTCGCGTTCCTTTATCTTGCCATCGATGAGCTGGATGTTGTACCACGATGATCGGACACGCATGTCCGGAAATGTCTCCCCAATTACATGGAACCGCCAAAGCAGGTATATGGCCAGGGCTCCAATAGGGACAGGATGACGTCGCGGTATCGGATACAGCCGCTGTATTCGATACGGCCAAACTGATTCATCTTGCCTTGGTTCAATTACAGCAAGCGCCGCCACGCACTTCGTTGGGCCTTAATTGAAAGCTCCCTGGAGAATAGATCGGGTAGCTGAAGTTCCCTCGTCGTCTCCCCCCTAGCCATAAGCGCGTGACCGAAGCGAATGTCAACTCGATCGTGAAGAGCCCTACCGTTGTTTTTCCATAAAGTATGCTGACACATTGCGTAGCTGGGCCGACCGAGTACGTGTCCTGCACGGTACCTTTGCCACGGTCA